TGGAACTGTCAGTTCATAAAAGGAATATAGCCAATGGTGTGTATTAGTGACATATGTGTTTGACATGTGTGTGAGTGCATGTGTTCCTGTGTAAAAGAGTGCTTGCCTACTTTAGTTGTTGGAGAAAGACAAATTATTACAATGTCTATTTCACAACAGAATACTTAACGTGAAAAAGAAAAAGCTAATAAATAGCCAGATTTCTTGTTTATAATGATTGGATGTATAACTTGTTACAATAACTTTGAGAAACTTTATGATAGAATCTGCTAGAGTTTAAAATATATATACATAATCCATTACTTGGAAAAATGCCAAAGATATGCATCAGACTGTTTATAGCAGCATAGTTTATATTAGTTAGAAGTTAAATGCTGCAAGTATTCAATGACAGAAAAACATATTGAATAACTTGAGACTTACTTTTGAACAGGAGCCATAGAGAAATGGAAAACTGAAGACATACTGGGCACACCATAATGGTGTTCACAATAATCATGTATACACTCTCAGAGTTCATGAATATACTGCATGGAAAAGTCATATGGGATGTCTAATTCCCTTATCATATAAATTTTTGGACTTAAAAAATATGTCAAATTACAGAGAAAGCTATAATGAACACTTCTATTGAAGAGCAAAACATACCAAATGTTGCTTAGTGTTAAAATGTTTTTGTTTGTTTCTTTTTTAAAGAAAACAAATATGTAAATGTGTTGAAAAAGCCATACTCATACTCTATGTCATTCTTTTTATTCTCAAAGTTAACCTGTATCCACAGTTGGGAAGTCTCTTTCTCAGGCATACTGTTGAGGTATTGCTTAAATGCTCACAATTCTAAAATATGTATACTTTTATTTTTAGAATTTTATGTGTGTGCTAAGGATGGAACCCAGGGCTTCACATGTGCCAGGCAAATGCTTCACTATTGAGCTCTGTTGTTGTTTTGATACTTTAAAGTCATTTTCAGCAATAGCTTACTTATTTTTTGCCGCATGACCTTTTCAAATGGTTTTGTATCTTCAGGAATTATCTTCATGTTGTTTATTCTATATCTAGTTTATTCATACTATGTCAACTTTATCCCCAGTTGATGAAATACACTGAATAGAACTGAATGGAATCATGGACAAATACAAAACTTAATATAATTTTATTCTCTAGATTTTATATTAAGAAGAACACAACTGTAGGTGGATCCACTTTACTATCCAATTGCAAGTCCAGACTGGCGTTGAACTCACTGTGTAGTGGATAATGACCTTGGATTCCTAAAACTGCTACCTTCATTTTTCAAATGCCAGGATTATAGGTGTGAGCTTTAAATACTTTTAAACACAAAATTTTAGTTGGAAAAAACTTATGAATTTACAACACACATTATTGTAAAACAAAATCTTACAGCATAACACATCACTGAGTGATATTTCATTTGTTTCATGCTATTCCCTTCCATTTTGTTTTGTATTTTTAACCAATTATCATTCTAAAACCATTATTAATTTTAAGTAAATGTTGGAATACTTTGTTCTTTGTGGATTTCAGCATTCTAGTCTCCTTCTGGTCCCCTTGTCTTCTCATGATCCAACTTTAATGATAATTTTTTTATTTATTTATTTATTTTTTTTTGGTTTTTCAAGACAGGGTTTCTCTGTGTAGCTTTGCACCTTTTCCTGGAACTCACTTGGTAGCCCAGGCTGGCCTTGAACTCACAGAGATCCGCCTGGCTCTGCCTCCCGAGTGCTGGGATTAAAGGCGTGCGCCACCACCGCCCGGCTCGATAATTTTTTTTTTTTTGCATGTTTGTTTCATGTGGTCAAAGTCCAGCTCGTTTTGTTGAATCCATATTAGGAAAAGAGGAGAACTTATCAAAGGACCATTTGACAAATTTTCAAAAAGTATTCTTCACCCTTCAGATTTGTTTATAAATGAAATTTTCTTTCTTTGACTCATTTGTATACAGGTCAGTTTGTCTTTTTTCTTAAAGAGAAGACCCTCCCAAGGCCTTAGCTATGTACATGTTATCAGCTTAAAAAATGTTCTTTATTTTATATGATATTGATAAAACTTAAGGATAGTGATAATTATAGCTTCACTAATTAATTCTGATGGGGGGAGGAGAGAATAAGAGAGGGAATTATTTGCCTTATATTTGACATATTTAGAAACCCATTTGGAACGTTAGTTCTCAAAACTACAAAACTACTTTATCTAGGAATGTTAGAGACTAAAACAACAATTTTCATTGGTTGTCAACAGTGGGTAAGGGGGGGCTGTGGGGCATCTGGGATCTGGGTGAATTTATGTTCTTTGTGGTTCTATATGCATTTCTTGTTCTACTGGAGACATGAGGCTCAGAGGGAGCTCAACAATAGTCAGGAAGCACCTAATTAACAACCCCTCCTTTTTTTTTTTCTTAACAGTTTTGTTTCCTTGCCAGGTATTACATTAGAGGAAATGAAATAAATATGCTGTGGAAAGGCACACATGTGGCTGCTCTCAAGTCTTCTATCCCACCTTTTCCCCCAGTGTTTTGCTTTCTAGCTGCTTGTGAGTGTGTGAGGCTGATGAGTCATCCCCTTCAAGAAACAGATTGACTGGTGAGTCATAGCTTTGGAACTGGGGCTGTGCTTCACTCACAGGGACTGTTTAACCCATGGTTGTCCCTTAGCTGTCAATGAGAACATCTTTCATATGTTCCTTTATTTTCAGAAATCCATTTGACAGGACCAGAGAATGACTGTGTCTGTCCCAGCAAAAGCTCCAGTAGTGTCCACAGGACATCACATTCTACATGACTAATCTTTACCCCTTTATGTTTGGGAGTTTCCCTGCCTTCACATTATAGCTGGGAACTGTTTGTGGAAGTATTTCTTTAAAACAAATTTTTCCCTTAATTCTATCCTAATAAGTACTATGTTTAGCTTTGCTATTATGAGTTTCCTACTGCATCACAAACTCAAGTATATAAAGCATTTCAACTTGGTTTATGCCATAGGAAACAAAAGCTAAACAGAATGAGATTATGTATCCCTTCTACAGTGTCAATTCTATTTTAAATACATGGATGTTTTCATTTCATAAGGCTTTCAATGTGCATGAATACTCCAACATTTCTGTTACCGAAGTTAGACATATAAATAAAAATAGATTAAAAATGGAAATTAACTAGAGTTTATATAATTATCTTTTCCCTTCTCAGTTGACAACATAAAAATGATGCTGAAGAGCTAGTTTACATGTGTCAGGATCAATTTTCCATTATGTCAATCATATTAATTAGTATCCAATTAGTTGACTTTTATTTTTAACACATACATGCAGCATGTATCAAAAATATAGATTGACTTTCTCTTAAGTATTTACATTAAATGGCCATAATACTTAAGGTCACATTGGCTTCCTTGAAATTGGCATTAGTATTCAGTAATGTGCCATAAATATTGCCAATCTTAAGATAATATCTCCATGGATTTAAGTTTCTCTCTTTCTTTCTCATTCTCTTTCTTTCTTTCTTTCTTTCTTTCTTTCTTTCTTTCTTTCTTTCTTTCTTTCTTTCTTTCTTTCTTTCTTTCTTTCTTTCTTTCTTTCTTCTTTCTCCCCAAAGATCTTTCACTATAGTCCAAGCTAGACTCTTAGTCACTGTGTAACCCAGGCTGACCTTGAACTCATAAAAATCCACTTGTTTCAGCCTCCCCAGTGTTGAGATTGTAGATATGAGCCACCATTTCTGGTCTACTGATTGACTGGTGTGTGTGTGTGTGTGTGTGTGTGTGTGTGTGTGTGTGTGTGTGTGTGTGTGTATGTGTGTCCGTTGTGTTGTGTATACATAACTTATGGAGGTCAGAGATCAACCTCAGCCTCAGGTGTCATCTCCGTTGGTTTTTTGAGACAGGGTCTTTCACTTGGTTTGGAATTCACCAATTACACTGAACTGGCTGATCAAAGAGCCTCGGGGATCGATCTGTCTCTGTCTCTCCACTGGTAGGATAATAATCATGCCATTATGCCAAGTTTTTAGATTGAGCTTCTGGGAATCAAACTCATGTACATGCTTGCATAGCAAACACTTTAGTGATGAGCTACCACTCAGGAACTATTCACTGACTTTTATAAACATGACATATATAATCACCTGAAAGACCTGTGAGGAAAAGAAGAAAAAAGGACAAAATATAAAAGTACAATGCAAGCAAAACCTTCCTGTGCAAAGTTCAGAGGAAATAGCAGATACTCTTTTGTGAGGTTTTGTGAAGAATGAAATGAATCACTATTGAGGTTCCTGGAAAAATTTCCCCTCCTTATGTCAGGTAAGAAGTTTCCTATGACACCTGTCATGTGGTAGTTACTAATCCATTAATCTTTACAATTCACAGTTCCAGGTCTTTGCTTATTGCTCAACTCTTGTACAACACCTGGCCTCTATTTATACTCTAGTTATGCAGCTTGAGTCTATTCAAAAATTAAGAAAATAGGCTCTCTTCTAATACCAACATTTTAATTAAATGTCATTATAATTAAATTTTTAGCATTTATTATTCAAAATGTTGAAGCAATCTGGAGCTTTAGATCTTTCCTATTTCTTATTTATGCCAGTACAAAAAGTCTTGCTGGTGAAATATAAAAAAGTACTCATTACAGCATTATTTCAAAACCTACAAATAAGTTGTATCTCAATTGTCTATGAGTTCTTGAGAATAAGTATAGCCTTAGTGATTTAACTCTTCATGCAAAAATGGTAACAAGTTCAGAGAAATAAAGTAAATTCCCAAGGTCACATAGTAGAAAGTGTTATGGATGAAATTAATCCCAAAACCTCCACCCCTTTACTTTTCTCTTTTAGTTTTGTAGTTAATGTGCTTATAATTCTATAATGTGCTTAGTATGAAAGAAGTTCCAGTACGTTCCTTAGGCTAGGGCTGGGAGCTCAACAGAGTTGAAACTCAATGCATTCCACCACTCCTGGGAGGAATAAAACCACAGAAGGAAGAGGGGGAGAAAATCCATCCTTCCTTTTCTGTTCTGTAACTGAGCTGGTTCCGGGAGGAGTTTTGCAAGACTCATTTCTCCTTCGTTTTGACCAGGGCTGAGCCAGTTCTTCAAACAAAAGACAGCCAGTTACTAACTTCTGGTTGCTAGGTGTGGCCTCCCTTCATACCCTATAAAATCAGAAGTCCAGCCCTCCACTTTCAGACTGAAACCGTCCGAACAGAGCCTCTCTTCAGTTCCTGGGAAGACAAGAAGATAAAAAGGTAAGACTAAGCTTTTGTTTTACAGATTTCTGCTTGGTTTAGAAACTATGAAATCGGGTGAGCACTCCTTGCTTGGTTTGCCTGGGGCTTCATAGAGAAGTGTTGTGGCTGCTGAACTCTACTACAGTTATGGCTCGTTGCATTTGATATAGTTTAATGACTCTTGCTGTAAAATTACATTGTGTTTTATCTTTTAGACACTAAAAATCATAAAGTTTTGCCTTTCTTAGCTAAGAAATGCAGTTTTGAAACTCTGGCAAGTTTACTTTATTGTCAGAGGAAAGGAAGTGTGCTCCTGTCTGGCAGTCATAGAATGAGGTTTTGCTTTCCTCCCCTTCAGAAAATGTTGTCTCCAGAGCTTTATGTTTTGTTGAGTGCATCGTTGAGTGGGAGGCAGGATGAAGGTGGGGACCCAGAGAAACCAGATGTGGCATACTGTGAAGAATTTTTCCAAAACAGAAGGCTTTTATAGCTAAAATATTTTTCTTTAATAAAACTAAATGAATACCAGCATCAGAGTAGTCTCCATGCCCTTTTTAATTAACGTTTTGAATGAATGTTATGTTTACTCATAGCTTAAGATGGTCCGCTTATTACTCGTTTCATTTAAACAGGGTGTGGCCACATTCCCTCCCTGTAATCTCTGTGTCATAGACAGGCTTTTCTGGTGCTCATTTGAAAACCTAAGGGGAAAGCAGATTTTTCCTGGGTGATGTCAGATCAATCATCCCACTGACTGCCAGAGGGGTCCACAGAAGCTCTCCTGCCTAGTGGCTTCTTGGAGGTCACATATGCCAAGGACATAAACTCCCTAGAAAAACAAAATGCAGATCTAAAGTCACACATCGTTGGAAAGACTTGCAAGACAAACGTGGCATATTACAAAAAAATGTTCCTTCCGGGACTTTCTTCTTAGCCCACTTTAAAAACATAATGAAGTGCCTTAACTTCTAATTTTATGGGAGCCAATTAGGAAAATTGTCCTTCTTCTTGCCATAGAGGCCTACAACTGTGTGAATCCTGAGAAATCAATGCCCCCTAATACTGAGTGAGGAATATATTCTGCTAGCTGCAGATAAGGCCTGTTTCAGCTGATTCATATGTGGTAAAAATGCTGGTTTCCTGATTCAGAAGTGGCCTCTTCCGCAGAAGTTACGTGGTTACCAGAGGCCCAGAAACACACCCACAACGCTTAGATACCTGATATGAGATTGATGCTGACAAGACTATAGCAACACCCTTATGGAACCAGCTTAATTTACATGCTTATTAAATACTTTCCCTTCCTCCCGCCCTCTCTCCTCTCTTGAGACAAGGTTTCTTTGTGTAGCTCTGGCAGTTCTGGAACTAGCTCTGTAGACTAGGCTGGCCTTAAACTCACAGAGATCCTCCTGCCTCTGCCTTCTGAGTGCTGGGATATCAAAAACATCTGCATAGTTGATTTATAAGCTTGAAATCAGCAGACTGGCTGACTGTCTTAGTTTTCTCTAGACCTATTAATTTGTTGCATATTTAAAGTCAGAACGAAACAATTTACTGGTCTTTAATGATGAGCCATAAGCAATTCTAAAAGTCAAATATGTCTTTTTCCTTCAAACTTGCACACATTTATCAGAAAGATCAAATACTCGAACTACTTAATATCCCTTTCCTTTAGGCTAATTCTCTCCTATTTGTATTGAAGGTGAAATGTAAGCTATGTGCTTCAGAGCTCCAGTGGATGTTAGAAACTTTATTTCAACATCCTCATTTTATAAATTAAGTTTCACATTTTTGTGAAGTCAGATTTTTTAGTTAAAGAAACTTAAGACCCATGACACCATGATTCTTCTATTTAAAATACTATTGACATGGGCCAAATTTGTTGGTTAAATTTGTGTAGCTGTTTGTTTATTCAGTAATTATTATTTGTTTATTTACTAATAATTCATAATCCTTATGAATATGCAGAATGATGGGTACTTCATAAGGTATTGGTGATGCACAATGAATGGGCTCTGCTTTCAGGGAAGACTGCAGGAGGTACAGATGCCAACATGAAGGGATAATGCATAATGGCATGAGGTTATAGGATGGGTAGAGACAAGATGCTTTGGAAGGTCCCTTAGTGTAATGCTGAGTACCAGAGAAGGCATCATGAATCCTCAATGCATAGTCTTCATCAAATATCAGTGAGTCAGGCAAAAGATAGTGGTGTGGATGAGGTCAGAGCATTCCAGGCAACAGAAACACCCTGTTCAGAAGCCCAAAGCAAAATATCCAGGAGCTACCTTTTATTAAATGGCTTTTTTAAGTGACATCATCATATAGTCTAATTATCATATCATGTGGTCATTGAACAGCCTAATTATCTTCTGCATGTGGGTAGTTGTGAGAAGGACTTACAAAACACATATTCAAAGAACAACTGTACATAAGATAAAAGCATGCAAAAATAAATACCCTCAGGCTGCAGTGAAACCTGAGTCTGCATGGATTCTCTTTAATGAATCTGATTCTCAAGTATATTAAAAATAGTGTTGATCTTGTTCTCATCTCTTTGTTCACTAATTTAAAGAAATATATAGTATTTTGCAGCCAGGAAGCATGTATTTACATTATGATACTGACACTACTAGCAAGATGTCTATCTGAAAAGGACAACATGTGCAAGAATAATAAGGATGGTGACCAAGTTATTTTGTCAAGAAATGGCTAGTGATTGCTAAAATCATTGTGAAACTGGTGTTCCCTAGCATGTAATCGGGACATAAGCCACATAGCTGTCTTCTCTAGCTGTCTTGTGTTAATAAGTTACTCAACAATTTTTTCTTCATTTTGTGCTTTGCAATTAATACAGAAATAATGTTGAAACCAGGAAGAGTTGTTAAACCAGGAAACTCAGCTGCTTTCCACACAGATTCTGGAAGTCACGTTCCATGACACTCAGAAAGATAGAAAAATGAAGATGACTACATACATATAAATATAGAAAAAGGCGAATCCTTAGAAGTTTCTCACTTTATATATAAGTAGAAATTAATAGATGGAGAATATTCACAAAAGAGATTGTCAAGTAGAAAAAAAAATGTGAAATGGTGTCAACTTCCAAGGGGGTTATCTTCAAATGAGCACATTTTAATCCTGGAGATTAACTTGGATTGAGAACTCATTGCTAATTAATTGAAATATATGTTGTGATGAAACAACATTATAGTAAAAACAAAATAAGATAGAAGAAACAAATCTTTTTGAACCAATTCAATTGTCCATGAAGAATCTAAGTGCTGGGCAGGCAAAATAGATCCAATGTGAATCTGCCTGATATTCTTCCTGTGGTATTTGAGAAGTGCTTTATATGTAAGTCATCCTGTTAATGAGGGTTATTATCTTTGGCACTTAACAGGCTGTGAATAAATGAATTTCCTTTTACAGTCCTTGCATCTTTAAACTTTTCCAAGAGCTAGAAGCTGACTTTAGAATCCAATTTCTTTTGTTGACATTCATGAAGACCATTCTGTTCTGGATGCTTTGCTTTTCTGGACCATCCTTCTGGGTTATCATATACATCAGGCTAGAATGTAGATGCTCAAAAGATATAAGTTCAAAACTGTCTTCTCTAGGGACACTCTTATCAAGTAAATCACTCAACCTACTCTTTCTTGTTCGGTTGCACAATATAATTAACATAATCATCATTATTACATTACACTTTCTCAGTTTTCAAAAAGAAAGCTGTGCACTATGCAGTTCATATTAATAGCAAAGAAACTGTGAAAGCGCAGTACTTTCATGAAATTCCTAAGATCAGTATTGAGTTGTCATATTCACTTTTGATATTATATTCTCCTCTAGTTTAAAGAATTTTTTCTCTCTCTTAACTGAAAACAACGAAATTACTGATTTTTTTTTTTAAAGCAAGTGATCAGATCACTCATTTTGAGGACTCCATTTTTCTAGGGGCTTGGGTGTGGTGTCAAGATAGCAAGTCTGAATGCTGAAACTGCCAGTGGCTATGAGGCTGTAGTTGTGCCAACTTGGCAGTCAAAATGTGAAATATCATGTGGCAACAGCAATTGCACCAGAGTTGACTTTAGTGGGAAATACAATGTCATGCATGATTGCATATCTTGACTTTACCTGAGGGAATAGCTTTAAATGTGTTGGTTATGGGAGAGAATACAGGACATTGGTCAACATTCTTCATACAAATGACAGAACACTAATTTGAACCAGCTCTGTGGTGATCAGGTGTGGCCTGTTTCTCTTTTGAGTGATTTTCCTCTGGTATTTAATCTTGTTACTTGGGACTTAGTCATTCTTCTAGCAGATTCAGACTGAAATACTGTGTCTGGACATGTTAGAAAGGGACCAGTTTATGAGTTTTACTCTTCATAAGTCTTAGGGCTACATACCATGAAATGAAGTCCCAGAGCTTATATTTTCAGCCTCACTCAAAGGTATTGATCACTATGAAATCTCCAAAGGGTGTCAGAGATAGATCAGTGTAGACACTGGACACTGGCTCCTAAAAATGTGGACTAGACAAAAGGAATCACTGATGACATTTGGTGTACGTGGAGAAAACAGATTGTTTACATACTTCAAGTTTTAAAAAGATTTTGTTCCACCAGTGGTGGTGGCATACACCTTTGATCTCAGCACTTAGAAGGCAGAGGCAGGTGGATCTCAGTGAGTTCCAGGCCAGCCTGGTCTAGAAATTGAATTCCAGGACAGCCAGGACTGTTACACAGAGAAACCCTGTCTCAAAATAAAAAAAAAAAAAAAAAAAGAAAGAAAGAAAGAAAGAAAAGAGAAAAAGATTTTGTTCTATTAAATTCAAACACTACCAGGCTGCAAGCTATTCAGGCAACTTAAGAGGCATCCTCTAAGATAGTTGCCAAAAAGTTATACATATTGCAGCATCACCTAAGTGATTGTTATGGGGCATTACAACAATAATATTCAAACAACTCAAATGTGAAGAACGTGACGATAGTTATTTACTCAAATAATTTTACATAGAACAATGGGGAAAATAAAGAAGCTATATTATTTAGAATGAAATATGCAGAGTTCTGAGTTGATCCAGTCCAGTAGATGGTTCGAATTATTTTACCTTATAAAAGTAAACATATTTTCTCTAGGCCTGCCTTTGGCACAGGCCCTGATTAATCCCACACAGGTGCTGGGATGACTACTAACTGGTCTCACCCTTTTCTCTGTACCCTTTAGCATGCTTCCCATGATGCAGAAATGATGTTTCATCTAAAATGCTAATGTTATTACACTGTTTTCCATTTAGAGACCTAATGACGTTGCTCTTAGCGGTGGACCTACGTTTAAATTCCTTGTTACAATTTCTATCAACATTTCTGTCTAGTGAACTTTGCTTTGCTTCTCAAATATGATGGACTTTCTTCTATTTTTTTTTTCCCCTCTGAAGCTTCCTGTCAGATTTGCTTTAACTCATTTCAGGAAAGCCTCACCTGAATCGGCACTTTCCTCAGAAGTTTCCTTAGCCTTTTCCCTTTCAGTCTGAGAGCACAGACCAGCTCTAGATCCTCCAAGGCAAAGGATGTCATATCAAAGCTTTTGTACCCTCTTTGCTTAGCATCTGCTGGATGATTTGTAAATTTAGATCTGAGACAGGGCACCCCACTCCTCTCCTCAGACCATATGCTTACATGCTGTAATCCTCTGTTCCTTAGAGGGTAGGGCTGTAAAGATGAAGAAAACAGCCCCATTTTTTTGAGTAGAGGTTGTGGGTTTCTTTTTAACAGTAAGAGCAGTCTTAAAAAGTATTTACACCTCACACTTTATTATGCTCCAAAGAATAATCATAGTAAGAACTAGTATACTGTCTATGGCAGTGTCTCATGTACATAGGGTAATATTTGTGGGTGTTGTGTTTGTTATATTAAAGCATCTACCCATTTTCTTTCCAGATCCTTCTTTAAAAATGGCGATGGTATCAGAATTCCTCAAGCAGGCCTGTTTTATTGACAGTCAAGAACAGGAATATGTTGTAAGTAGTCAAAATATTATGACACAGTTAGCATGTTAAAACAGACACCAAGATAGATGAATGAATGGAGACTAATTTATGTCTCTCACATACACAGCAAGCTGTAAAATCATCCAAAGGTGGTCCTGGGTCAGCAGTGAGCCCCTATCCTTCCTTCAATCCATCCTCGGATGTTGCTGCCTTGCACAAAGCTATCATGGTTAAAGGTGAGTGTGTATCCATAGAAGTGTCTCCTCTTGAAAATTTCATAGAAACTACTTGAATGGTTATCGGGAAATAAACCTGAGTCATGTGAAGTCTTTTCCTGGGGAGATAAAGTTTTTAGTCAGCTGTAACGACTTGTACCTATAATATCAATACTAGAGACTCTGAGGCAGGACGGTTGCCATTTGAGGCCTACATGTGCTGTGTAGTCAGTCTCTGCCTCCAAAAGAGGAAGGTATCCTTGAAATGAATGGTAAACGGCGCAGGTTGTGGCACTGGTTACGGCATGGAAAGGTCATGGTCATGACAGAACCCAGTATTAGTTTCAGAGTTTTATTAGGAGGAAGTGGGTGGGGTAGCATGTGTGGAGAGCAGAGGGAAAGATAGTGGGGTGGGGGGAGAGATAGCAGAGCAGAGAGAGAGGATGGGGTCTGTGTCTGGCTTTCTAAGGACTCCTGGTGAAGTGGTGACCACACTGCACACATGTAGTCACCAGCGCACACGGATGACGTGAGACCCTTTGCTTAACTCCTGAACTGTGCCTTCGCAGTCATATAGCTGGAGTGAGGGCAGAATTCTAACAGTCCTTCCTTTCAGTACATAGGAAATTTTGGTCAGTGATGAAATTCCTGCTGCTATAATAGATGTCCTTACTGTCTGTTTCTAGCAGAAATCAATGCTTAAATCAGCACCTGTGATCACATTTAGGGTTTGAACATACATCTGGAGTACTAGTGTCCAGAAACTATTAATTGGCTCTTCATTTTCCATTCAAATTAATGAGATGTTGTTATATCCAGATCGAGGGGACCCCCAAAAGACCACCATGGAGACAAATCCTGTATATAAAAGCAAAGAGCCTTTGTTTTCAAGGTTGGAGCTTGGACTCTCTGTCTGACGCAGCAGTGAGAGCAGAGAGCCCTGAGCCTAGGCAGGATGGTGTTTTTATCATAGCAGAGGTTGGGGTGAGAGGATTTCCAGGGTTCAGGACTCTGATTGGCTGACATTTGTCTAGGCGTATAGGGAATGTTTGGAATGTCAGGTATTTCCCCTCAGATGCAGGCCTCCCTGGGTGGGGCTGGCTTATGGCTTTTCTAAGATCCACATGTTGCCTGCCAAAAGCTGTGTCTGGGCTTCTAAGCCTGTCATGGTAGCTGCAAGGTCAAGCTGTTTTGGGCTCCTCCACAACGTCACATTACATTTTTCAGCTTGTTACGGGGCCGTGGCATTCATTTTCTAGGCTAATACCGTTCTGTTTCTCAACTTTATTATGATGTGCCTTGATAGTGAATCATTTCATGGCAATTACTGATGACTAAGAAAATTGATGTTAAAGCCTCAGATTCTTTCTTTCCAGGTGTGGATGAAGCAACTATCATTGACATTCTTACCAAGAGAACCAATGCTCAGCGCCAGCAGATCAAGGCAGCATATTTGCAGGAGACTGGAAAGGTGAGGAGAATGATGAACTCAGATGTTTAGTGTGCTCACATTTATGTTCCAATGTGATTCTGAAGCACAGTTCTATCTCTTTCTGCTTTACACACAGTTAACTCATCACTTCCAAAACAGGAATCACAGTATTTGTCTCCTTTGTTGCAATAGGACCACTTTTAGCAAATTTACTCAGCTCACACACTGGCCATCTTGCTGTAAAGTTTTCCAGAGGTGATGTTCTGTGTGCAATCCGTCAACTTAAGCAAAATACACATCAAAATTACTGTGGGGGTACAAAGAATTTGTTCTGACTGAAGTGTATTTTTGTTGTTGTTGTTTTCGCTAAAACTAAAAATGAGCTGCTTTATGAAGAAATTAAGTATTTTACACAACTCTGTGTTGGAAGTGAACTTTATACTTCTCACGGCAAGTGTGGATAGCTTATTTTTAAATGGGTGCAATAAGAAAACTGGAGGGTAGCAATTTTTTAACTATAGTGTTTATTAGACCAATGAAAAGCATGTAACAGCTTTGTGTTTTGAGCTTTATGACTCCGTTCCTGTAAGAAACTCTGAGAACATGGTCCTGGAGGAAGTTTGTATTGGATGCAGTAAATTTCATCTAATTTCTCTAGATTAAAATATTGAGAAGACATCCTAAATATCCAGCTTGTTTTCAGCATGGAAGGAAAGAACTATAAAGGATGACTGAAGTGAGAACTGTCACTGGGTTCATGACGGTTAGGAAGTCACTCTGATCCCTTTGTTTTTCCAGCCCCTGGATGAAACTTTGAGAAAGGCACTTACAGGCCACCTGGAGGAGGTTGTTTTGGCTCTGCTCAAGACTCCAGCCCAGTTTGATGCAGATGAACTCCGTGCTTCCATGAAGGTAAATGATTGTCCTCCCCTGTTCCCCAACAGTTTTAAAGATTTGTTTTATTTGTATGAGTGTTTGGCTTGAGTGTATGTATGCATGTCCCCTCTGGGCCTGGTACTCTCAGAGGTCAGAAGAGGGCATTGGATCCTCTAGGATTGGAGCTATGGATGGTTGTGAGTCACTATGGGGATGATAGGAATCGAATCTGGGTCTTCTGCATGAACAAATGCTTTTAACTGCTGAGCTGTCTCACCAGTTCCTAAATGAACTTTTTAAAGAAAAATTCTTTTCCTCAAAACAATGTGCAAGATAAATCTGCATGTTACTATGGCTGTGCCTTCATTATCTAGTGCAGGACTGTCAATCAGTCCAAATTCAGTGATTGAACAAGCTAATAATTTAATAAATCAATCATTGGATACATGAAAAATTAAATATTGGAACTGACATTCTTCATGCAATTTAAATTCATAAATCAAATAGCTACATTTTAAAATCTTCACCCCAAATACTGAACATAAACTACTTTGTTTTGAAACAATACATTTTTTAAAAATATGGACAAAATTGACTAAATGACAAATTACAGCACACTTTGTTTGGACAAATCAAGTTGATTATCTTGAATGAAAAAATGTAAACGTATTTTCTTTTCTTTAAATTCAGGGACTTGGAACAGATGAAGACACTCTCATTGAGATTTTGGTGTCAAGAAATAACAAAGAAATCAGAGAAATTAACAGAGTCTACAGAGAAGGTCAGGCCAGCATCTGAGTCCCTAGACGGACAGGAAACCACATAGAAATACTTTCTGAAAATCAGCTATGGGTGGTAACTGTGTGTGATTTAGAAAGCCTAAGTTTTAAAATGTTTCCTTCCTGGTTGGTACATATCTCTGAAAGGCAGGATGAGATGCCAGTAAGAAAATACATTTCCCAACCCATCTGCAACTTGCACCTTAATGAAAAATGTCTTGTGGAGATCATGAGCACAAACTGTTTCAAAGAGAATTGAATTCAGGAATTCAGAACATTGGATTTAAATAGCTTTCTAAAAACATTTCTATTGTTCTGAACTAACCTATACCTTTTATTTTGAAAAGACTAAATAATAAGAATGAATATTTCTGATCAGAACACTTTTCATTCATCTTTCTGATCTTTTGTTGGGAACCTTAACTTTACCATTGAGAACATAAATGATTCCTCTTTCTCTGTGCTTAGACAAATACTTGACATGAAAGACTTATCAATGGCTCATTGTACAGTGAGGCCTTCAGTCAAATGACTCAGTCCTCACTGCACAGGGAACGGCTGCACATCTCTGGTGATATTCTAATTCCTTTGAGCTGTTGACTTCTTTGTTTTGTTAAACTACTATGTGACCTCATGCAGAATCTTTGTGTCTGACTCATTGCACGCTGTTCTCAGTTGAGCACCTGAGTCAAAGTGCGGCAGTTTTCAACTACATTTTCTCTAATTCTTACTCCAGAACCAATACTTGTCTTAGATCCATTTCTCAGTAATAATAATTCAAGAGACATAATTTTTAATGTGTTTGATAAAATGTTCTTTACAAAGGTAGACATCCACATTTCCCTATGATCCTGAAGATATGGTCCAGAAATAGCTTAAGGTGTTGTTTTTACTTCACTATAAATTTACTATAAATTCAGTTATTTTTCCTATGAAAGCACTATATTTTATAGCCAATTCGATAACTGTAGACATGAGTTTTAAATAAATGTAACACATATGCCATTGACCATATTATATATTGAATATTTATAATTTTAAGGTAAATAAATAGCCACTGTTAAGCAAGTACTATTTTTTCCTTTTAAATACTGTTCTATTCATTCTAGTGATTAAATTTTCACATATTTCAAAATGATTTGGTACAGTATGTTTAAACAATTAATTTTTGTTAGCAAATATTTATGACTAAGTTTTCATACATGGTATTATTCAGTTTTATTCCATTGATCTATAGGAAATTATTTTATAGATTGACATTGCAGCTGCTCTAGTTTCTCCATTTCCATAAAAATATTTTGAAATATGTTACAGGAGTCATTCCACTTTGTAAACTACAAGCTAATGCAAATATCATTATTTTTCCATAGTTTACTAAAAAATTATTTTCTCATCTTGTAGAGCTAAAGAGAGATCTGGCCAAAGACATCACTTCAGATACATCTGGAGACTTTCGGAAGGCTTTGCTCTCTCTTGCCAAGGTATAACTTAAATGCTCTGGAAATGTCTTTGCTATTATAAATAATAAAACCTTAGATTTGTAAGCATTTTCTAGGAACAAGAGACTCTTTACTTTAAAATTAATACCGCTTAATTGATGAATAATACTTATATGCATTTGAGGGAATAATGTGATATTTTGATATATATGATGTAAAACTAACAATATAAAAAAAACTTCATAATCTCACTTCCTACCACCTTTTCAGGAGAGATATTTGAAGTTTATCTTCTGGTCATTTAAAAATACCCACTACGTTTTGAATATGTTCATCTTACTATGTAGTAATACCACAATGTACTCCCCTTGTCTATTAGAGACTGTGCCTTTCCATCAGCATCCTCCAGTCTTTTGATCCCCACCCCACAATCTCTGATCATCATCAATGTACAGTCTGCATCTGTGGGTTCAGGTGTTTTAGGAAGCACATCTAAGTGAGGTCATGCAAACTTGTTTTGTTCTGTCTTGTTTATGTTCCTCAGAGTAACAATGCTGTAAATGATAGATACTGTTTTCACTGGTTTTTTTTCCTCAAAAGTTATGTCTGATTTTAAGAGAATTAAGTGTATCTTGTGATTATATCCTATAGACAATCTTTCAATATGTTGGGTCATTTTTCAGGGTGACCGTTGTGAGGATTTCAGTGTGAATCAAGATTTGGCTGATACAGACGCCAGGGTAAGCAAGGGAGAGACAATATCAATGAAGAAAATCTTTCTACCTTCTTACTCCCTCTATGTGGAAGCAGATCTCAGGTCCTGCGAGAATCCAGTGTTTTGTTTTGTTTTTATGTTCATTTAATTTGACACAGATTCTTGTAGCCCAGGAATGGAAAATAGTCTTTATGTTTCCAATTTATCTCTCCTTGTTTAGAAAACCAGAGATGACTGAAAGAACAATGAGACTCTGTCTGTCTTTCCCAAGAACTGTTGGATTGAGAACACTCCAAGTTTTGACTCTGTAATATAAGAACATAACTATATGCCAGTCAAACCCCTTGCTGGGTAATATAAGTTGCTACCAATTTGAGATCTTTTTTTCTCAGTCTCTCAATTGCTGGGACTAGAGACATTCACCATGATGCCCAGCTGGGAAAAAAAATCACTGCTGAGTAAAGTGAAATCCTGAAACACATTACAATTCTGTTTTAATAGAAATTGTGCAAACAGATCAAAAACAATAATGATGCATAGTTGCCTGTACTAAAAATTACTCTTATCTTTGTGAATATGCTTTCCATTTCTAGACTCTTAGGGCCCCTCGATGTACATTTATAGAGACTACGTGATTAGTCTGATGAAGGACTGTCATAGAAATTATTATTTCAAGGTGGGTGGAGTGGTGTATGCCTTTAATCCTAGCACTTGGAAGGCAGAGGCAGGTGAATGCTTCGAATTCAATGCTAGCCTGGTCTACAGAGCAAGTTCCAGGACAGCAATGCTACACAGGAAAACTCTGTCTGGAAAAAAAAAAATCCAAAGAAACAAAAGGAAGAAAGAAATTAATATTTTATAGTTAGTAGAACATACTTTTAACAAAAAGACAGGGATTATTATTTTCATTCACAAATGAGTAATAATTGCTTTTAAATTATTTCCTAAGATTATACAGCTTTCAAATTTCAGAGTCGAAATTTGTGTACAGAAATCATAGCATCAAAATGGCATTTCCTTCAGGAGCTAATAAATGTGTGTATACATGGGGAAAATACAAGGCCTAGGCATTAGTTAAGTTTTGATTTATTGATATTATTTGCCAATAATTTATTTGAGCAATAAAAAGTAGAAAAAGGGAATCTGTTTTAATGAGTCCCTTGAGTTGTTTTTATCTACAGAATAATTTTAAAGCAATTGATTCAGCAAACAGATATCCCATATTCTCTGTTTGTCATATTTACAAAGCTCCTTGAGAGATACTGTCCTCATTTTCAAGAAGGGCTTACCCCAGTGATGCCTACTCTGATTGTATTAAGTACACCATAATTGCTTATATAACCATAGTTAAACATGCATGTTTGCGTGCTTGTCATTTCCACACATGGGCACATGTTTACTTATTCATTTCTTGACAGGCTTTGTATGAAGCTGGAGAAAGGAGAAAGGGGACTGATGCGAATGTGTTCATTACAATTATGACAGCTAGAAGCTTTAGTCATCTTCGCAGAGGTAACAAGAAATTAGTTTTTATGGAATGTGTTTATGCAAGATCAGATGTTCCTTATCTAGGACAAGTGAGAGGAAGGAAAGAAAGAGGTCTTTCCATATCAAATGGATGCAGTGATATTTACTGCTTACTGTTGTGTGCCTGTTTGTCAGCCTTGAACTGCTGCCGTTCACACTAATGGGAACATACTCTGTAACTTTGGAGTGCGTAATATCATTTATTTTCACTATTTCTATTCTTTCAAAGTTTTGGAGTAGTTATGACAAGAGATGTAAATAAAACATAACTAATGAGAGAAAAAAGAAACAAAAACAACTCTAGAGTCTAAATGAAGGAAAGAATATGTAGATGGTCCAGAAATAAGAGAGAACAAAAGAAAAAACCCAAATTCCCAAAGATTCAGCATTAAGACTTAAGTTCTGAATCTCTGGGAAGGCAGAGTGTAAGGATAACACAAAGTTCATTACTGTATACCAACATAACAAGTTCCTATATAAACAAAGTGAATTTGCTGTGCTGAGATTACAAAGGAATGAACTATTAATACTGCTGTAGAAAGCAGTAAAGTGGTTAATCACCTGGCACTTCTGATAAAGGTTGGTGCTTGCAATATGAAGATGAAGTCTACACAGTATGCGGAGTCATGCAAATAGCCTTTAAAATGTCACTGAAGTTCAGTGTACCTGAGGAGCTCCTTGAGTCGGTTACCCTAATTTTACTCAAGTATACCAGTAGACAGGCTGCTTTGCACAAATCTTAACTTCAATTTCCTCTTCAGTGTTTCAGAATTACAGGAAGTACAGTGACCATGACATGAACAAAGTTCTGGATCTGGAAATGAAGGGTGACATCGAGAAGTGCCTCACAGCCCTTGGTATGTAAAAGTTGCACAGGCGAAGCTCTGACCTCAACTTATACATCTGCATATCACTGCTTCCCTATACAAAAATACATATAATAATATAAAACAAACCCCCTGTAAATATGATACATCTATGTATCTATGTTCAGACTAAGGCAATATGTAAGGCTGATGAAGAAATAGGAAGGCCTTTTTAATTCAACAGATGTTCTTCAAGATGTGGAGATGCAGAATATATTTTTGAGCACCTGTTTATAAGGCAATGCACCAAGCAGGCCATACCACCTAGGCCACTGTGGATGCTTATGGAGAACAGCATAACCACTTGTACAATCTTGGGCAAGTCCTGCATGACCTAATCCAGTAGGTCTGGGTTAACCTGTGAAAATATGAACCTGTTACATGTCTCCTAGGGATATATTCTGCTTCTGCAGGCCAGGCTTCTGAATTTGAAGCTCTGTTGGATATCAGTCTTGCTGTCCACAAATCCCACTTTGAGTAGCAAGATAAAGAAAGGACCCTACAAATACGTGCTAGTATTTCATTTGGGCAGCTGCTTTATACTTAATCTGCTGCTGTGCTGCTTTGACAAGTGTTTGTATACAACATGAATCAGGTTTTTATGTGCCTTCTCCTTACATTTGTTTCTCCATACCCACAGAGAGGATAGATAATATATTGGGTAGAGTCACTACTGAATATTGACAAGGGAAAGAATGCTGATAACCACCATTTAGAAAGTAATTCTCTCTTCTAATAAACCAAATATCCCACATTAGACAGGAGGGCTAGAACTCTTTGCAGAGTTATTTCTTATTTATTTAATATATATCTTTATTTTGTGATGACTACTTCTACTGAAATATGCATCTCTTACAGTGAAATGTGCCACCAGCACCCCAGCTTTCTTTGCTGAGAAACTTTACGAAGCCATGAAGGTACTGTTCTACTTATAGGTTTTACTTAGAGGAGAAATTATCTGTAGAAAGAAAAGCAGAGAACCTAATGGTGCTTGAAAATCACAATACATATCTTTAAAGAAAATTACATTTTATTCAATTTGAGGGGAAGCATGTATTAGAATAAACTCTTTGAATTTGGTGCATTTTAAAAAGGTATATGTAAATGTGATTATAAGGTGAACTAGCAAAAAAAGTTTATAGGTGATTTATAATTTGCTTAAAACCTGAATCACCAGAAAAAGGGTGGTGCATTCCCCCTTTTAGTGTGCTACTTTAATAACCCACTTCAACTGAGGTTGTGAGCTTTATGCTTTTGTCTTCCTAATTATGCTGTCTTTCATGCCACAGACTAATAGTGGTCTTTTAAAATGTTATTCCATGGTTAGAGAAGTAGAAGGTGGTATTGGGATGTATTTGAGGTTTCACTTTTACTTTATTTTCCTGCAAGGAGGTTGCCATACAGGAGATTGCCCCAGTACTTACATTTTGAGATCTCAAGACAATGGTTATGAGGTGATCTTTCCTTTGTAACCCACACAGAACGAAGCCTTAAGAGAAAGAGAGAGTGATGAAAAGAGCTAATGATTTAAATAATATTGAGAAGCTTCTGTGAAAAGATAGACATGTTCCCAGCGCTTGTCAATCAAGACAGGCCCAATAGGTCTAGCTGAATATTAATTAACCCCCTTTCTGTCCCTCTGCCCACTGTTTTCTGTGTGATATTCAGATAAGTAATGATGATGTCTGGTATGAAAAAAGAGCATTAAGCCCAAAACTTCAGAAGTCAGTATAGCTTTTCCTGATCTACTTTAAAACCTTAAATTTGGGCCAATGAAATGACTCAGCAGATTAAAGCACTTACCATCAATCCTCATGACCTGAATCTAATCCCTGGGACGCACATGGTTGAAGGAGAGAACCAACTCCTGAAAGTTTTTCTCTGATGTCCTCATGGACACTGTGCCATGTGTGTCTATAAACATGCCCAGGAGGGCACACACAGAGATAGTATAGCAAACAAATAATAAAATACAATAAAAATTTAAAAACCTGAGGTTTAAGTAAGAGTGAGGTATAAGTGGGTGAGAATGAAGGAAGAAGAGAAGAAAGCAGCATACACTTGGAATTGAAAGCAGAATCGATCCTTTCAAGACAGTAGGTATGATTGGCTTGACAGCCGAATGGCTATGGAATTATGCAGGACACTATAAGAGAAATGGGAGACCACTGAGATATTTATAATGGATAGGTTAGATTTATGATTTCAGGAAAAAAAAAAAAAACAAACAGACAACACTTGGTTATTATTGGATAGTTCAGATACAGCAAAGATTGGGTGGTGGAAAGCCCGTTAGAAAGCTCTAGAAACCCTTTACACCTTCTGCTAATATAACTCCCATTCTCTTCTTTCATTACCACTGTTCTCTCTCTTTACCCTACTCTCTCTGTCACTGTCTCCGCTCCGTGTGTGTGTGTGTGTGTGTGTGTGTGTGTGTTATAGAGAAAGACAAGCAGTGGGAGGAGAGGGAAAAGAGAAGAACATAGAGGGCTGATTTTTTTTCCATGCTGCATGTGTAGAGTGATAAATGGGCCTCCTTTTAAAATCCAGTCTTCAGTGACAGATTTTCTGCATGTAATGAAACCATGGTCTGTCTACACAGGGAGCTGGAACTCGCCATAAGGCATTGATCAGGATTATGGTCTCCCGTTCTGAAATTGACATGAATGAAATCAAAGTATTTTACCAGAAGAAGTATGGAATCTCTCTTTGCCAAGCCATCCTGGTATGTTGTGATTTTCAGTAAGAGGACCTCTGCAAAGGAAAGTTCTTTATGCAACAATTTCCAAGAGCAGAGCTGATGTGATGTACTATAGCTGTACATTGCATATATAAGATTAATTCTGCTTCTTAGGGTTAATGATTCATAAATAAATTAAGCTTCACATAATTAAATCTAGTCTATCAAAGAACTAAGTGTACTTTTGAAGCACAGAGAAATATTCAGTCTTTGTGAATAAACAGTCCTGGAATATTTCAGAGTTCTTAGAAGTATTGATACATATTTATTTTGTAGTTAAAACTGAAGGATTAAAAATGTAGTACTAAAATTAATTTCTAGTGTTTTACTTGTTACTAAATATGTTTCCTCTGTAAAATGTTTAAAATACATGTTCAGGTCATATTATTAGAGTGTTGGAAAAATAACACATAACAAGAAGTTAAGGGGGCTAATCCTATTGAAAGATAATTATTTAAATTCACATAATTTGTATTTGACAATTAAAATATGTGAAGAACAAATGAGAAAATTACAGGCCCATAATTTTCACTCCTATTGAGTGATTCAGATATTTCCTTATGTAGGGTATCAGCTTATATAATACTTCAATTAATTATATGATATATTAATGCTTAGAAGTACTTGTTCTAATAAATAATTTGTTCAGAATTGACTTTTTTAAAAAAACATTTATTTATTTTTTATGTATGAGTGCTCTATCTGCATGTTTGCCTTCATGACAGAAGAGAGCATCATATCCCACTATAGATCGTTGTGAACCACCATGTGGTTGCTGGGAATTGAATCAGGACCTCTGGAAGAGCGGCCAGTGTTCTTAACCATTGAGCCATCTCTCCAGCCTCTAGACTTGACTTTCTTCTGATTCTTCAAAGCTGTTTATTCTCCTCTGCAGAACGTTTAATTTAGCCTTTTCTTTACACAGCTATATCACACACTGTAAATAAAGTATGACTTACTTTGTTGCTGACTCTAAAACTACATGCTTCTACTACAACTAAAATACCTTGTCTTCGTTATGATTTTGCATCATAACAATTATACTTTCTTTTTTAACCAACAGGATGAAACCAAAGGAGACTATGAAAAAATCTTGGTGGCTCTGTGTGGTGGAAACTAGATGTCCCTGCTGCTCTGAAGCAGTGATGAGGACATCTCTTAGCTGCGTTCCCTCTATCACATAGGCTTAAGTAGGAGAGTTGCTTTAGCAGATGACAATCTAATTATCAACTTTTAATAATATAGCATATAAGTTTTACATCATACCTCTGTACAATAGAGAAACACTTGTTTTATTAATTATCTTTATCCCAAATTATATCCCTGTAAGGAATTCACTGTGTTAGCATTCCTGAGAAATAAGTTTATGTAGACTAAAATAAAACAATTTTATAAGACAATTGGTGTGTTACTAACTCTTATAGTTTGATTTTTCTTTTTTGTGTGTAATCAAATGGCTTAGTGTAACAAAGAGCAGAAGTCAGTTTTTCCTACTTGAAGACGATTTTAGACATGAAATCACAAAGTTCTACCAGAAATCTTCTCCAGATAACCAAGAATTTCCTCAAAGTATCGGGATACAAAATCAACATACAAAAAGCAAGGGCCTTTCTGAATACCAATATCAAGCATGCTGAGAAAGACATGTGAAAGCATTCCAATTCACAATAACATCTGAAAACTAGGACTAAACCTAACCAGGGAGCTAAAAGACATCTGCATGAAAAATTTAAATCTCTGAAGAAGATTGAGGAAGGTACTAGAAGGAGGAAAAACCTCATTATGCTCATGGATTGGTAGAATTAATATTGTGAAAATGGCCATTCTACCAAAAGCACTTAGAGATTCAATGCAAACTCAATCATAATCTCCATTCCATTCTTTCTCAACGGGGAAGAAACAAAACAAAACTAAAACACATAGGGAAGCACAAAAGACTCAGGATAGTCAGAGCACTTCCAGGCAAGAAGAAATAATCTGGAAGGACTACTTACTATACCAGATTTCAAGCTATGTCACAGAGCTATAGTAGTAAAATCATCATTGCATTGGCATAAAAATGTACTTGTAAATCACTGATTCAAAATAGAACATTTTTTTTTTTTTATTTTGCAATACAATTCAGTTCTACATATCAGCCACGGATTCTCTTGTTCTCCCCCCTCCTGCCCCCCTCATCTTCCCCCAGCCCACCCACCCCCCCCCATTCCCACCTCCTCCAGGGCAAAGCCTCCCCTGAGGACTGAGATCAATCTGGTAGACTCAGTCCAGGCAGGTCCAGTCCCCTCCTCCCAGGCCGAGCCAAGCGACCCTGCATAGGCCCCAGGTTTCAAACAGCCAACTAATGCAATGAGCACAGGACCCGGTCCCACTGCCTGGATGCCTCCCAAACAGATCAAGCCAATCAACTGTCTCACCCATTCAGAGGGCCTGATCCAGTTGGGGACCCCTCAGCCATTGGTTCATAGTTCATGTGTTTCCATTTGTTTGGCTATTTGTCCCTGTGCTTTATCCAACCGTGGTCTCAACAATTCTCGCTCATATAAACCCTCCTCTTTCTCGCTAATTGGACTCCCAGAGCTCCACCCAGGGCCTAGCCATGGATCTCTGCATCCAGATCCCTCAGTCTTTTGGATGGGGTTTCTAGCACGACAATTAGGGTGTTTGGCCATCCCATCACCAGAGTAGGTCAGTTCGGGCTGTCTCTCGACCATTGCCAGCAGTCTATTGTGGGGGTATCTTTGTGGATTTCTGTGGGCCTCTCTAGCACTTTGCTTCTTCCTATTCTCATGTGGTCTTCATTTACCATGGTCTCCTATTCCTTGTTCTCCCTCTCTGTTGCTGATCCAGCTGGGACCTCCTGCTCCCCCAAGCTCTCTTTCCCTCAACCCTCGCCCTTCATTACCCCCACTCATGTCCAGGCTGTTCATGTAGATCTCTTCCATTTCTCCGTCATTGGGCGATCCCCGTGTCTTTCCTGTTTTCCAGGTAGCCTCCCTGGTGATGTGAGTAGCAGTCCAGTCATCCTTGTTCCACATCTAGTATCCTCCTATGAGTGAGTACATGATCACTTCCTAAATATAACACCAGTAGCACAGACACTGAGAGAAACAATCAATCAGTAGGACCTCTTGAAACTGAGAAGCTTTTGTAGAGCAAAGGATACGGTCAACAAGGCAAAGCGACAGCCTACAGAATGGGAAAAGGTCTTCATCAACCCCACATCTGACAGAGGACTGATATCCAGAATATATAAGGAACTCAAGAAATTAGACATCAAAATGCCCAACAGTCCAATTAAGAAATGGGCTATAGAACTAAACAGAGAATTCTCAACAGAGGAAACTCAAATGGCTGAAAGACATTTAAGGAACTGCTCAACATTCCTAATTATCAGGGAAATGCAAATCAAAACAACTCTGAGATACCACCTTACACCTGTCAGAATGGCTAAGATCAAAAACACTGAAGACACCTTATGCTGGAGAGGATGTGGAGCTAGGGGAACTCTCCTCCACTGCTGGTGGGAATGCAAGCTTGTACAACAACTTTGGAAATCAATATGGCGCTTTCTTAGAAAATTGGGAATCAATCTCCCCCAAGATCCAGCTATACCACTCTTGAGCATATACCCAAGGAATGCTCAATCATACCACAAGAGCTCTTGTTCAGCTATGTTCATATCAGCATTGTTTGTAATAGCCAGAACATGGAAACAACCTAGATGCCCTTCAACTGAAGAATGGATAAACAAAATGTGGTACATATACACAATGGAATACTACTCAGCAGAGAAAAACAATGACATCATGAGGTTTGCAGACAAATGGATGGATCTAGAAAAAATCATCCTGAGTGAGGTAACCCAGACTCAGAAAGACAAAATAGAACATTTAATTATGAGTCCACACAATTACAGACACCCGATATTTGAGGAAGGCACCCAAAATACACACTGCAGGAAAGACAGAATCTTTAACAAATAGTGCTGTCACAACTTGTTATTCAGATATGAATGAATGGAGTTAGACCTGTATCTGTTACACTAAAAAAAGTGAGCTCCAAATGGATGAAAGAGCATCATGTGGAGCCTGACACAATGAGACTGTTAGAAAGATAGACTGTACTCTATAAGGTGCAGGTACAGAAAGGATGTTCTCAGCGCTTCATTTGCTCAGGAATTAAGGGCCAACCATTGACAAGTGGGACCTCATGAAGCTAAGAAGCTTTTGTATAGCCAATGAAACAATCACGTGGAAAGGAAGATCAGAAAGCTGGAAAGAATATTTGCCAGATACACATCTAGTAGAGAATTTATATATAGAATATGCAAAGAACTCAAAAGGAAAGAATTTAGAAAGAAAATTATCCAACAAAAAACTGGAATACAGATCTGAATGGAGGGATAAAAAGAAGAAATAAAAATGGTTACAAAATATCTTTAAAAGTGTTTAATATAATTAGATATTAGTGGGAAAGCAAATCAAAACAACTTTGGAAGTATATGAATATTGTCTGTTCATGACATCTAAGAATTATAAAACATTCCTCATAGTAATGGTACTTTTTGCTGTAATAATTAGCAATTTTTAACAGTGTTAATATGAAGAGAATATAATGCGTTTTCATAAAACAAATGGATATTCCTTTTTGAGAGAAATAAAAACAAATCAAAATAAAAATTGTATTGACATTTCATCTTACATGAATAATAATGACCAAAATAAAATAACATTAAAAATGATAGCAAATGCTGTCATGGATGCACAAAAAAAAGTGACCATAATTCACTGTAGGTAAAATTGAAACTGATCCAACTCCTGTGGAAATCAGTATGAGGAATTCTCAAAGAGCTAAAAGTAGACTCATTATATCATTCAGCTATTTCACTCACTGGTGTATACTCAAAGAACTCAACAGCCTACTACTTGCTTAGCTGTGTTCATTGGTGCTTTATTCGCAATAGGTAGAAAATGAAAACCTAAACAGCCCTTAACTGATGGATGGATAGTGAAAATGTGGCACATAAGCACAATGGAATTCTCTTCTGATGCTGTGATTATTTGAATGAGAAAGTCCACCATACTCTCCTATGTTTGAACAAGTGGTTACCAGTTGGTAGAATTATTTGAGAAGAACTAGAGGGATAGCCTTGATAGAGGAGGTGAGTCTCTGGGGGTGGGCTTTGATGTTTTTAAAGCCCACTCCCTTCTCAGTTATCTCCTTTTGCTTACCCTGTGGTTGTAAGCTCCCAGCTCTGGATCCAGTGCCATGCCTTTCTGCCTGCTGCCATGGCCCCTCCCCTCATGGTCATGAACTCTAACCCCCTGCAACTGTGAACCCCAAATTAAATGCTTTCTTTTACATGTTGTCTTGGTTATGCTGTTTAGTCACTGCAATAGAAAAGTAACAAGACAGATGTAAAGAAAAAAAATGATATCATAACATTTGTAGACAAATGAATAGAATTGAGAAATACACCAGATGAGGTGACAAAGACTTAGAAAAACAAGTGCTGCGTGCTCTCTCTCATTTGTTGATCTTAGCTCCTAATCTTGAGATTTGAGTGTATAACCTGGAGTAAACACTGAAATCACAAAGTAAAAAGACCCCATGGAGAAGAAGGAGGAAGTGGAGGAGGAGCTCTAGAAAGGGGGGCGGGTATAGAAAACAGGTGTTGTGAAGGTAGAAATAGTAAAAATTGGGGGACTTTAACTGGGGAGGGGGAGGGTTGTAATACAGAAGGAGAGGGAAGACAGGGGAACAAGTGACAGTAAGAAATGTGAAAAAACCACAATGATGCGTATTATTTTATGAGCTAACTTATGAACCAAATGGACTTACAGCCTACCAAGTGACCATTACAGAAATTCACTTGTCAACATGCAGAGAGTAAGTGGCCACTGAGAGTCCAAATGATACATCTACAGTGCAGACTGTACACCTGAGGCTCTAGGGAGCATCAGAACAGGAGGAGAAAGAGTGCAAGAGCCTCAGGACCTTTCCTGTATAAACAGCAGACAGGATGTCTGCAGGAATATCTGGATCCTGTTAAGCTTTCCTATATAAACAGCAGACAGGATGTCTGCAGGAGGATAATACTCTGTATCCATTTGAGTTATCATGGCATATTCCTGAACCCGTAAGGTTAAGTCTAGGCCCTCACATTCCCCCCTTCACAAGTACCAATGACAGAACTCAAACATGAGTCCTAACTGTCCAGAGTTCAAGGGTATTGGGATAATCCTCCTGAGCAGTCCAGATAATTCTGTTCAGCAGGTTGTGGTTTTGTGCTCCAAGTCTAGACCAATAGTTTCAAAAAATCACTTTGCCCCTTCTACCCATTTCAAGTTGCCAATTCCTGGCTTGTGGTTTTCCCTATACACCTGGGCTAGTGGCC